ATAAATGTCACGACTTTGTGATAAGGAGTGAAATTTTAAATAGTGTTAAGGGGATCCTAAAGCGAAGCTCGAACTCCGATAATTACCAGAGATCGCTGTTTTTCTAACGCATCGACATGTCTTTATACAGGGTGTTTCATTTTAAATTTGGTCCGAACAAACAACAAAAAAAAAAAGAAAAAGTTTGACCATTTTACATAATTTTTCGTATTTTTGCAAAAAAAAACGATTTTTTTTGCAAAAATATCTATCACAAATCGCCTTTAAACTTTAAAAACTATTTATAACCGAAATTTTTGTAAAAAAAATCCTTTTCTTTTACGCGTAACGATATGTATGTATATCGATATTGATAATATCGATATTTCTGCTGCTGATATTTACCAGTATCGATTCTAAGCCTCTCGATACGTATCGATACCAAATATCGATATTGCTGGCATGTATCGCTCCATCACTACGAAAGACAGAGATCAAAAACTTTTAACGATTTCAAACTGTGTCATCCCTGAGACCGAGCGTCGCACACTACGACAAAACAGCAACGAAGGAGTAAGAACGGCAATAGGTGTGAACACTGACACATTTCCATTTCAAGTCAAAAAACACCGATCTTGGACAGCTCTGCCCTAAGGCCTCGTCTACAATCAAGTCGACTGACGCTTGTCTTATGTCGTTAGTCGTAAAAGATGGGACCTGTCCCATCGAACGACGCCCCGCAGCCAACACGAAAAATCAAGGTTGTGCGCATACGCACAATATACAACGTTTCCTGATTGTAGACTAGGGGCGGAATCCATAAATGTTGCTCAAGATTCAAGATGGTCTTAAGCTAGTGCATGAACCAATCAGAGAGCCGTATTAGTATCTTAGGACATTGCTTGAGATTAAGACCGGATTATGGATTTCGTCCTAGTAGGCCTAAGGAAATGTTGGCGTGACGGCCGAATTTTATCGATGTTGATAAAACAGATTCTTAATTCCGAATGAAATATTACGGACATTAAGAAAACATTATTTACATTAAATAAAACGTTACGTACATTAAGTAAAACGTTAAGTACATTTCCTATTCTGTGCTATATCCCAGAGAGCATAAAGTCGTTTAAAAGATGACTAAATTATTATAAAGATATCTTTTAGTGAAAGAATAGTCGACGAAAAGATGACTAAAAGACAACAGATATCGCATTGCTAGTCATCTTATAGTTTTATCCATAACTAAAAGACGACTTCTTTGGATATCTTTTAGTTCTCTTTAAGACTTCTTTTAGTTTTATATTTTAACACATATAACGTTTAATAACATCAAATTCCTAAATTAATTTTACACAAAACGAAATGAAATTGCATGACTGACAGTATACATCCCATTTCTGCACTGAAAAAAAAAAGATTGGCTGCTGCAGCAAATTAAATGGTAAAATATGGCATAGCACTTTTAATTAGCTGCGGTAGCCAATTTTTGCTTGCGTTAGCCTATCCACAATGTCAGTATAGGATTTCGATAGGCTAACGCAACCAAAAATTGACTGCTGCAACCAATTAAAAATGCTATGCCATATTCGGCCAATCTTTTTTTTCAGTGTGGGTCCTGCAATGTTTTCCATGTTCTGTGTGCAAAAGCCACTATCTTTCATAGTTCTCTCTTTGAGAAACTCAATTTAGAAAAAATATTTTATTAGTGTTCATTAGAGTACGAATAAAGTTTTTCATAATGCTGCACCTTTTATTCTATCTTGTATGATTTTCAAACACGAGAAACTGAACTCCATCACGTCCGTCTAGTGATCTCGCGTACTGCTCGCGAATGAGTGATAAAAAATACCAAAATAATGGAAACCCATACAGCACCGATTGTCGCGGAAAATTTTCAGAAATGTTTCAACCTTTCATATCTCATATACAACAATTCTGAAAGGATTTTACAATGTCATATGAAATGTTTTAACAGAAACGTTTCTAAAATCTATCATATACAATAAATTGAAAAACATATTTAAACAGAACAAAAAATTATCATGATGTTAAAATGGCTCCAAAATGTTTACTAAATGTCAGTTTTTAATCAATCACTATTCAGTTTAATGTCATTTTGATGTTATCGTGAGTTTTTCTATTTTAATTGCGAAAAACTTTTGTATATGAATAATGATATTATGTATATGGAAACTGCAAGTGTAAGTGACTTTCTATCTTTCTAATAATGATTTTGTGTAAGTGCCTATACAGAGTGTTTGGAAAGTAATGAAAAATCTTTCATAGGGATAGAATGGACTAAACTGAGAAGAAAAATCCTCTACCATTTTACAATTTTCGCAATAGTTAACAAGATATTAATTATTAAAAATTGTCGAAAATTAATCTTCAATAATTTTTTACTCAAATACTATTAACTTTACAGAAAAACTGTAAGAGACAAAAATTGTTTATTTTCTTCTCATAAGGTTCTGAGAATTTTTTCAGAATTTTTTATTAATTTTTTAGTATTGCATTTTCATATTTTTACCAACATGAGAAAATACCGTATTAAAAAATTTTGAAAAAATTCTGAAAAAATTCTCATAACTTTAGAAGAAGAAAATAAACAATTTTTATCTGTAACAGTGTTTCTGTAAAGTTGATATTTGAGTAAAAAATTATTGAAAACCAATATTCAGCGATTTTTTGTAATTAATATCTTGTTAACTATTGCGAAAATTGCAAAATGCTAAAGGATTTTTCGATTCAGTTTTTTATTGGGAATAGCACTGTATGATTAGTGTATGTTATTTTAGATACACCCTGTATAGGTATCTGTGTATATATAAGTATATATAGGATCATGATCTGAATAACATTTGTCAAGATCAAGGCCATTGGAGATTGTACCTCTTATTTTTATTTTTACGTAGAAATGAATTTTTAGTGCAAAAATGAAAATAAGAGGAACAATCTCCAATGATCTTGATCTTGACAAATGTTATCCAGGTCCTGAACAACATTCAAGAGGTTTTAGCCGTCGGTCGGACACCTTGGGTAATGTTAATGCCGGCGATACTGTAACCTTCAAGCCTTATATAACTCGAAAAGTACTTCATGAAAAAATATTTTGTTATAGTTTTGAAAAGCTCTCGAGGTGTGCTACAAGAATATGCAATAAGAAATGGAGGGTTCCATTTAAAAAATTCATGTTGATCTTGATCTGATCTTGGTGATGCCGCCTATCCAAAATCCGTTATTTCCACTTTCTTTCCCTTAAGAAAATCTACTACTTTCATATAAAACTTTTTCTTGTATCTTTCTTAGTTTCTGAGATATTCGCCTGGGGCGATTAAAATGCCCCACCCTGTATGTGTATATGAAGAAATAACGTGGTAACAGGAAACTGTAATTACAATTTTTTTTGTTTTTCATAAGGGTTTGTAGTTTTCCCGCCGCGATTTGCGTTTTCCTTTCATTACAGAGAAGGATTTTTTATTCTGTATAAGAAAAACGAAATGAATGGAAAAATAGGAAATGCGCGTTCTGTCGGTAATCCTTCAAAGGGATGCTGGAGTGATCAAATTATCGATATTACAGTCATATAAACACCTCCGAATTGACTGAACGAAATCAACAATTTTTTTACAAGATTAAAGTAGACGCAAAATTAGGAAGTGGTGCAGTAGACTTTATATTAACATCGAAAAAAAGTTAAAAATTTACTTAATCTTTTTTCCCCGATCTTAAAGTCGTCTGTATTACCGACCAAACCATATATAATTTTTGTATAACAATTACTTTTTTCCTCTTTTACAGATTCGAAAATCCTTTTCCAGGATTAAAGTATACGCATTAATATGTGAAGTGGATTTATATACTGAGAACGTCAAAAAATTTAAAAATTAAGATCTTTACCATTTCTTAGTCCAATATGACGCTCTAGAGCTGCTGTCACATTGTAACAATATTTACTTTATATGTATAAAAGCTGTACAATCTGTACTTACGAGTACTAAATAGTAGCCCACAAACTAGTAGTTTGCGCGAAGAAACAACGTAGAGTTCTTAGAATTGGACTTAGACGTCTAATTAAAACGTTGTTATAAAATTTATGTATATGTGTGCGTGAGATATTGATGTAATAGTATGTAGTGATGTGTGACACGTGAATCGTCTGTGTGTAAGTCCTATTTACACTGTGACTAATCGTCCTTAGGATCCTCTTAAAATGGCTGATTTTTAATTCTATAAATACGATTAGTACAGTAGAAGCGTTTTATATATTAAATCTTTGCTTAAAAACACAAATTCTCTGTTTAAAAAAAAAACAAATTCTCTGCTTTAAAAACACATTATTTTCTTATATATAATTTTTGTGTTTTTAGAGCAGAGAATTTTTGTTTTTAAAGCAGAAAATTTTTGTTTTAAAGCAGAGAATTTGTGTTTTAAAGTAGAGAAATTGGATTTTTAAAGAGAATTTTTTTTAGCGGAAAACGTGTTTTTAAACGAAGATTTAATACAGAGCTGGGATTTAGTTGCACATTTCGGCTGATTTTCAGCTTGGTTCCTGCCCCTTATCTCACCAGCCCACGCGGGTAAAACAAAAGGTTTATCTTAAAACGTTGTTGCAATTTTAAAAATGTTCTGCTGAAAAGTTACTGAAAATGTTGAAATGTGTCACTTTTCTATCAATGCAGCGATATACATATAGTTGTTATTATGTATTATAACTAAAATCCCGTATAATATCGCTGTGTGTATGTTGTGTTTCATAAAGTTGCCACATGCATCACCATTATCTGTAAATGGACGTTCATATCTATCGAACTAAGTAGATTTTAAACAACTGTTAAGAAAGTTACAGCAAGTCTTGCGTAGCATTTCTAAGAACTTTCGGTACTCATATATGTATATGAAAAACTTCCGTTTATAATTTCCTTAAATATTTTGCCATTTATCAATGTCCTACGTCTTCGAGCAAACAAAACGCCAATTTATGGACTGTCGTTTATCGCATAAACGTCGTTTTCTAGAAACTTATTCGTCGCCACCTCCAGCATCCGTCTCGCAGTCGCAAGATCCGTTAACTTCCACAACTTCCGGCGCATCGTCATTTGTTGCATCGTCCGCATTATTCTCCATGACGTATATCCTCTCTGCAGACTGTTCATCAATGATTTCGAGAAGTTGTTCCTCGACTTCTTCTCCCCTCTCCGACGTGTCGACAATCGTCTCGTCTTCCGTAATTCCCGCGGGATCTAGTATCGTTTCTTCGCTCTCCTCCTGACCGTGCAACGCCGTTATTACTCTCTGTTCGATTGTGAGCTGTTTCACGGCATTTTCCAAATTATCCCTAAGAATATTTGCATCGTTCTCGCTCTCTTGCCACGTAAAAGGCATAAAGATCATTCGAACGAGTTGATAAAGCCGTCTAAAACCCAGCTTTTTGTACAAGTTTTGACTAGCTTCATTTTCTGGACGTATAACTACAAACGGATAATATCCTTTCTCGGCTACGCGTTTTGTCAGGTACCTAAAATTTCATATAAATTGTTATATATTTCAATTTTTTAACATGTGCATAATGATATCGCGATATAATATAATATTTATTAATATAAGTAGATCAAGTTTTCATTTATAAAAACAATACAATTACTCTCTCGACTCGTCTGGTTAAGCAGTATTATTAGTTGCAAACACTGCATATAGAACTTTTTTCTACCTTGCTAACTTTGTCCCATAACCCTTTCTTCGATATTCCGGCTTGGTCTGCATAGAGAACATAGCTCCGTAATAAGATTGAACCATCCAAGCGGCCAAGCTATCCTTCACGAACACTCCCGCCGCGGATAGAGTCCTGATAAGTCGAAGAAAAACCTCGGGACATTCCATATCATTAGCTGGATACAATTCGTGGATTCCCTCGGCATGTTCGGCTTTAAGAGGCCGCACCTGGACATCAGAGTCAGACTCCTTGTCCGCTTGTTGACTCTCCTCTTCCTGCTCAAAGTACTCGCACGCGCAGACATCACCTACCACCGTCTCGATGGTGCCGGTACCTTCGTAAAGACGCGTTAATTCCTCAGCAATATCGGAGTGAACGAAATTAATGTACAAAGGTCTCGACCAGTCTATCAGAATGTCCTCCTCTCGGAGAAGGCGAAGCAGGTCTAGTCGATCGTTCGGACAGAAGACACCGACACTCTCGTACACCAAACCATGTGGCTGAAACCATGACAGAAGATATGATTAGCATCCCTGTGATGCAGAAAAGAAGCTATGCGCGAACGATCTGGAAGATGGTAAAATCTTTATCATTTATTTACTGTTTGTGTTGTCATAATTTAAGAAATAAATTAGATACTCTAATGCAGGCTAGTGATATATGTATAATGTTTCATATATACGGCTGAAATTTCACCTTTGCGAAATTGACTTTTAAAAATCTAAGTTTTCAATAAAAAAAATGTCAATATCTTGTTTATAGTTGATTGTGATAATAATGTTTTTGTTTAATGTAATTTCATATATTAAAAAATATTAAATTTTGAAAAAGTAACTCATCCGATTTTCAGATAAACAAAAAATGCCAATGTACATTGTGGTTCACTACTAAATCTGTAGTAGTGAACCACAATGTACATTGGCATTTTTTGTTTATCTGAAAATCGGATGAGTTACTTTTTCAAAATTTAATATTTTTTAATATATGGAACTACAAACAAAAACATTATTATCACAATCAACTACAAATACTAACATATTTTTTATTGAAAACTTAGATTTTTAAAAGTCAAGTGGCAAGTTTATAAACTCACAATGGTAAAATAGAAAGGCTACGAGCCAATTCCCACACAGCAAAAATTGATCCTAGGTACATCCTACAGATGTATGTCGAGGTATTTTCAAACATCCAGAGTACGTACCTGAAGAAATTTAGAAGGTATTTAGGATATACTGACCATGTTTATATGTCCGCTTATTCTACATCCATAGGATATCATCGTTTAGTTATCATTAAGATGTTTCTGAATGACCAGATTTCATCCTGTCTTTATCCAGTGGATGTCCTAAAATGTGTCTTAGGATGTTAAACCCTGGTAGAAAAATACTACTGAACATTACTGCGCAGTAGTACTCTTTTACAAGGGTATATCGGCGTCTCGGTACGATACAAAATGCAGGAAATGAGTAGTATATGTCACAGAAACTAACTAGGAATAACTCTATATAAAAAAAAAACACTTTCAGAGGCTCCATGAGCACACTCTGATCAAGCTGAAAGTGACGAACTCCATTTGTGTACACTTCTTTATAGGGATCCGTGTCAGTTTTTTCTTACGGAAAATGAGTCCATCTCGCGGCGGTACTGCGTACTACGTCGCTTGGTTGCGCCGCGAGATGGACTCGTTTTCCATAAGGAGAAAATGACGCAGATCCCTATAAAGAAGCGTATGCAAGTGAAGTTCATCACTTACTCTTAAATTGATCAGAATGTGCTTTTTTTTAAATAGAGTTATTCAATATTTATAATTAGTTTAATTAGTAAATGGAAAATTTTCATTAAAACAGTACAGAACTGATTTTGTAAAATAGACCGAAAATTCCTTTTGCTTTATCAATTAATAAATAACCAAATTTAAAAATAAATTATGCACAACAAAAAACAAAATAAGCTATAGCTGCAACTGTTTGAATTAATAATATATAAAAATAAATATGATTAAATTCTACTCGAAACAAAGGATAGTTTTCAGTATGTCTGTGTGAGATATTTATTATGTATATATTTAAAAAATTAACAATTAAATTGCAAAGATATGTCTCTATAATATAGTACGTAATACGTAAAATACGTAAATGTATATGACATATGTGTCGAAAGTTGAAAAATGTAATTTATCAAAATTTTTATAGTGATCAAAATTGTTCGGATCAAAATAGGATATTCTAGAGACGTTTTATATTAGTACAATAATATTTATAAATATGTTGAGCTAATCATATGGACGATTTAATGTTTTGGATCAGAATGGGATCAATCTAATCGAATTAGGATATTCTAAGGAAATACATTGCTATGTGGGTTTTGTAAAAACGTTTAATATAAAGTTCATAAAAGTTGAAATTTCAATCCGTTTATATGTATTTCAATCCGTGTTTATGTATCGAAAGACACTCGTGCGAATAGTCGTTTAACGCTAAGCCCGCAGTACAAATGCGGATCAATGCGGTGGGTGCTAAATGTCAAAGGATGCAGCGTTGTTCTTGGCGCGTTTAAAATTCGTGAGAGAGAGGAGAATATGTTATGTACACGAAACTAATAATAATCAATGAATTTATGATGCTGCGAAGATGGTAATTAACTAAAAAGCATAGATAAAATCATTTTGGAAGCTGGAAGCAAGTCACGCGCCTCAGCGACGACAAAGCGAAGATGAAGGCGAAAATTTGGCGGACAGCCAAGCATATAGGATGTGGGCCAACACTCTTGCACCCTTATACTAAGAAATGGCGCATCCGGAAGCACACAATAATGAGTTTTCAGTACTCGTGGCTACTTTTGATATTTAGCGTTTCTACGATATTTTCCAAATTAATAATTCGTTATAATGCGGCGATCAAATTAAATTTCCCAATTGAAATAGTTCACTTAAGTTTTTTTTAACTATTTACATTATACATATATCTCGCAAAAAGATGTAGGCCATACGTACCCGAGCAGCACAATTCATTGGCGAAACATTGGTTAAACGTTGGCATACATTGGGGATATGTTGGGCCAATGTTGCGCCGATGAATTGTGCTACTAGGGTAGATAATCCAAGTCTCACACGTTTCAAAATAAATTAGATAAGTTCAAGGAATAACTTTTAAAATTGGACAACTTTTTGCAGTACTTATTTAGGAAAATCTAATTAAGAAAGTAAATATGGGAATATTATCTCAAATAATAAAAAATATCATTGAAAATCAAAACTTTGTTTAAAATTGCGTCAGCTAAACTTCTCTCTTAAATCAAAGCAGAAATTTAATTCAGACTTACAGATAATGTCATTCCGGGAAAATGTAAACAGATTGCGTCCTCGGGCCAATTGTTAGCCACGTAGAAATGGAATTCCCAGACTCTGTCTCTTATGTAAGTTAATACGGTTTGTTGAAACTGCAAGAAATTTATATAAATATTAATAAAACAGTCTTTTAATTAAATAACATAGTTATATAGTTAAAAAGTGATATAAAAATAATTAAATATTCTTCATGGAACATGGAGAATTGAAAGGGACATTTACATTTACAAAATAGAAGAGTTTATTTATATTCGTGTGCGTCAGCTTTAACAAAGCTGCCATCTGAAATAAAATATATACAGGGTGTTTAGAATTTAAATGTCAAAACTTCGGGAACGTGTAGGGGATCGATAAACTAAGAAAAAAAGTCTTATAGAGATATGCTCGTTTTTGTTTCGCACGTTTTGGAAAAAATTGTAAAAAAGACGTAGTTGCTTCGTTCTCACACGTGGAGGAGCAGTATCTTGGCCACCCCGATCACTTGATTTGACACCACTGGACTTCTTTGTGTGGCGAACCCTGAAGCAGGAAGTATATTCGTCGTCAATCAACTTAAGAGAACAATTGAAAAATCGAATCGAGGCTGCAGTGCACCAAATATCATCAAATCAGTGTTTGGCTGCAACACGAGCTGTTCGTACTATATGCAATGTTTGCATTACTGCAAAAGATCAACATTTTGAACAATATCTACATTAAGCAAGTGAATAAATACAATGTAAATAAGTAACGAGAGAGTACAAAAATAAAAACTACGTTTTGTCGTTTTTGTGATTTTCTCCAAAACGAAGCAAAAACGAGAATACTTCTACAGGACTTTTTTTCTTAATTTATATCCATCCCTTATACGTTCTTGAAGTTTTGACATTTAAATTCCAAACACCCTGTATAGATACTAGAACAATACAGGCGCGCGCTATGCATGCGCTATTTATTTAATTTCATTATATATGATATATATACGTATAAACATACAGGGTGTTCCAGAATAATCGTCATTTCATGTGGTAGAGAGGACTAAACTGAGTTGAAAAGTCTTCTACCATTTTGCAATTTTTGCAATAATAGTAATTAATAAGATATTAATTACTAAAAATCATCGAATATTGGTTTTCAATAATTTTTTACTCAAGTACTATCAACTTTACAAAAAAACAGCAAGATAAAAATTGTTTATTTTCTTCTCATAGAATTCCGAGAATTTTTTCAGAATTTTTCAGTGCCGTATTTTCTCATGTTCGTAGAAATAGTTGCCAATAAGGAAATGTAAAGAAAAAGTTGATAAAAAATTCTGAAAAAATTCTTAGAGTTCTATGAGAAGAAAATAAATAGTAGAATTTATTGCGAAAAATATTACCTCGGCCGGAGATCGAACCCGGATCTCTTGTATTCCATACGAACGTCCTATGCCATTAGACTACCGAGGCTAGTTAGGCTACCCCCGGTCGAGGTAATATTTTTCTGTCTCGATTCTTAGCTTTTAAAATTATGTCTATTCGGGAAATTGTCTCGGTTCTTCGGTTTCGTAATTATGACTTTTCGAGATATTATCTCAGTTCTTTGATTTCGGATTTATGACTTTTCGAGTTATTATCACACGTCTTAAAGTTCGGTAGAATGACATTTCGGAATATTCTAGTTTTTAGATTTCAGTAAGTTTTTTTCGGGATATTGCATGTCCACTGATTAATATGAGCGTTTTTAAATAAAAGACGCACATAATACAATGTATTACAATAAATTATTTCATCTTTGTTTAATATTGCAAACAATGAGGATAAACATAAATTTACTGCCTTAAAAACAATAATTCGCTGCTTTAAACATACAAATTCTTTGCATTAGCAGTTTGTATTTTTAAAGCAGTAAATTTGTGTTTTAAAAGCATGGAATTTGTGTTTTTTAAAGTAGTGAATTTATGTAATTAAAGCAGAAATACATTATGCTGTATCAAGTCAGGATACCTTAATCTCTAAAGTCTCGAACTTTAATATAGGGATGCTCCGAAAAGTATCCGGTATCCGGCATCATCCGGCACTTTTTTTACTGTTTATCCGGCATTGTTTTACTATCCGACCGGATAGTCGGATATCATTAGTATCCGGGAATATATCCGGTTGAAATTTTATATCATTAAATTATTGATTTGTTATTATACAAATGTTTTATAAATAAATATGCATATTCATAATGCCATATTAATATCTTATGCATTGTTGCAAAATTATAATTTTTTCTCCACAGCCCCCCTCCCTTTTTTTTAGAAGACAGTTTCCCAAAATCCGGTTAGATATCCGACTCGAAGAAATTGCATTCTCGGATATCCGATGTTACATTCTGTCCGGATATCCGATATCCCTGTTTGGGCCGTATAGCATAAAGTTCTATAGCGCTCAGTAAGCGGTGGAGCGTAATTAAAAGTCGCTCCATCGCTCACTGAGCGCTACATAATCTTACGGCCCAAACACGGCATTAGAGAAATAATAAACAGTAATAAATAAGTAAGGAATATGATATTAAAGATTATCGATAATAGACAAATTATTTTACATTACGAATTATAACAAATAAACATATTAATCATAGATTAATCCCTTTTTTGCTCAGGGAGCGCTCAGTGAGCGGTTTTCTCTGCTGAATGTAGTCATTAAGCTTCCTCAAAAATTTTCCTTGAAAAAAGATCGATCTGGACGAATATCGATCTTTTTCATCCAATTTATCGATCTTTAAGATCAAGTGCTTGCGATTAATCGATTTACTGAGATTGATTTTTTCATAATTTTTGCCCATCTCTAGTCCTTGATGTGTACATACAACTCATACCGACGACGATACTGACGCATGCGCATTGCGAACATTTGGGATGTTATAGCTTTCTCTCTCGCACAGATGCAGATGTTGGTTTCACGGTCAGTTCAATGCTCAATTCCTCTTCCATTTATATATGTTCCAAGTATTAAGCCAACATGAAAATCATTGTGCGCAGGCTTTGCAGTTTATCCCGAAATAAACCGCAGACACTAGTTTCTACAACGTTATACATACAAGATACGGCATTCAAGGGTCAAGGTCGCGTATCCTGACGCACACGTAAAGCCGTTGCCTTTTTCGTCACTGCACGTAGTGAAATCGATGCACTTTGCATGCGACGTATCGTCAAAGTTTGCTTGATGATTGATCGTTACGATAAAATTTAATGTCTGCGCATGATACCGATCGCGGCACGTTTTCTTTAAGCTCCTCTCTTTCATCTCCCTTTCAAGTATTGAAATCTTGATCACTTTCGTCTACCCACATGATTCTTGCTTGTTTTTCTATAAATAATTTGCCTGACAAACTACGATTGATTCTCATTGACTGATTCGGTCTAATCCGCGAGACGACGAAAGCGGAGAGAAACCATGCGGCGCGCACAGTGGGTCAGAAGGCAGGTAAAAACGGCTCAAAAATCAACTTCAGAATTTTAAAATTGTAAAATGATTTTCAAATTCTATATAGTTTAAAGCATCTGTCAGCAAAATTATGTTGGAATTGGTTAATTATTGTGGGATCCATTGTATTCTAAAGTCAGAAATGTACACGAAAATGTTACTCACTCGAAAGATGAAATATTCAAATTTATAGCTTTTAATAATGTTAAGCATTGCAAATTTTTATTTCTGCTTGTTGATTAGAATAAGTATTCGAATGAAAACGAAAAAAAATTAAGTACAAAAACTTTCAGATATGTGTGTGGATGCATACATTCAATTAAAATGCGTGACTGTAGATTTTCTGACATTACACTCGCTGCCGTTTGATAATTCTCCAAATTTCCACACCATATCAAGAAAACTAAAATATGAATCTCTTAAGGATTTAATATACTTTAACTTTAGTCGGCCCACTTTTGCCCGTTTTCATTTATTAGCAAGATACACAACAATAAATAAAGTCGCAAGATTATGATTCTACCACGCGCCACCTCCGTCCCCCCCCTTGCGATCGCCTCGCATTGCGAGGAACATATATTTCTTTATGTTCTCTCTCCTCAATTACAATCGTCATATTCATTCACACGTGATTTTCTTTAATATTGCAAGAAGACCGCGGAGCATCAAAGTATTCTTCACTCACATCCTTTTTTATTTATTTTTTTCTTTTGATTTATAAAAGAGCGTTTATTTAATTATTATCAAATTTTTTTTCTAGGGCGGACAACACAAATATTTCTGATACTCGTATCAATCAGCTCTTTTCAACTTTTTTTCAGTTTTAAAGTATCTTTTTCGGCCCATATTTCTTTCCCTTGTTTTTAAGCAATAGACTTAGTAAAAATGGCAGAATTTAAAAAGAAAGAGATTCTTGAGAAGATGGCAGAAGTAAAAGACGTAAATTTAGTAATTAACTACATTATTCATAAGATGAATGTAAACTCTACTGATATAGATTCTATATGGACAAATAAATTGAGTTTCACGCAAATTCGTCAAAATTTTATAATTATGGCCGCCATATTGAATTCACCATTTTTAATTTTTTATTTTTGACATCAGATTCAGAATCAGCGACCCCTAGATACCGAGTTTCACGCAAATCCGTCAAAATTTTGAATTTTGGTCACTTTTTGGTATCTTCTGGCCCACTGTGCGGCGGTGGAAAAGACACGAGACAGCCTGAACCATGATATAAGAATACAAGGTGTATCATTTCTCATAATGGCAATAGCAATACTGGAAACAACCAATCAAATTTTGGCCTCTATGCACTTTCTTGCATATAATAGCGCTGGCATATTGGAATAGCCAATCAAATTTTGATCACAATTCACTCTCCTATTGCGCATCCTTGGGAATGGTATACCTTGGCACCTACCACTGAAAAAGTCGGAATGGATTCCGATCGGAATTATTCAATTATTCTCTAGATTTCTATTATGTTTTCTGGGGAAAACGGAATAATTCCAATCGGAATCCATTCCGACTTTGTTCCATGATAGGTGCCCTTGTCTTCTTACATTATGGTCCGAACAATGGATGTATTCTGAATTACGCATGAAGCGCACGAGATACCACTTTATCCTTCTTTGTTTTTCGGTGAACAACAAGAACAA